ATGGCTTGGGTCAGGTGCACCTTAGCTCTCAAGCTGACATCTTTGCTCTTCAAACAGTTGTTGTAGGTGCCGTCAGTTCATTTCATAATTCCTGTCATAGGACCAGGCAATGTTTCATTGTGTGGTGCATAGGGTCACTATGAGTGACAACATATAAATAATTAGAATAAATTTCTAAACTAAAAATTTTAATCATATTACAGTTTTCATTTTTAGTGTACAATTTTAAGTAGTTGCGCTTTTTTGATAATATTGAATCCAACTATGTAATAGAAGTTGTTTCTTAGTCACAAGACTAGACAGAATTGCAGGAATGAAAGAAAGTATTCATGCCCATTGAATGATGCAGGTCAATTCTGACATTGATATTGTGTATGAAAGGCACAAACATTGGGCCCTGCCCGGTGACTGAAAAATGCCAATCAGATCTTTGTATTGTTCCTTTTAAAGACAAAAGTGTGTTGTCTTTGTCAAGTCTAGAATGGTCTTGTTCAAGAAAGGAGGAGTTCAGTATAAGTAAATCTGCTTTCTAATTTACATAAAGTTTTAAAGATGTTTTTTGGAAAGTGATGCAAAATGTGGGGGCATATAAAAATATAATCATTTGCCATTTGGAGAATATAGAATGATGGGAAGAACATATCTGAATAGCATGCAAGTAAGAGTCTTTGTCTTGCAGTTTGACAAAGCAATGCATTATACTGTTCTTTTCCATATAAATGGCTTTTATACTTGAGGGAGACAAATTATCTGGGTTATCTTTTTTGTTTCAAAAGTTTTATTTTATATATAGCCTTATGCTTCTTAATATAAGAAATCTTCATTTCCTCTGAAATGTTTGACTTACTGCATAATAAGCGAAGTGTAAGCTTCCTTAGATTGCTTCCTTATTGATATTAAAGGGTTGAATAGGAAATCAATGTAAATTTTTTTGCCTTTTAAGAGTCACAGAAAATCAGTGCTGATGTTTTTTAAAACAAAAAAATTGTTTTTCATACTTAACTCTGAATCTTCTGAAAGATCTCTGAGTCTGTTGTTAAGTGCTATTGAGTTAATTCTTACTCATAGCGAGCATGTGTAGGGTCTCTTAGGCGCATTGGCGGGTTTGAGCTGCCAACCTTGTGGATGGCAGTACAGTGCTTACCCTTCAGTGCCACACCAGGACTCACGAGTCAGTTGTTTGTTGGTGGTACTGATGTGTGTTGTTGAATTGTCCGACTCATAGCAGCCCTATATAGAATTTCCAAGGCTGTAAATCTTTATGGGCACAGAAAACCTCATTTTTCTCCTGTGGCAGCTGGTGGATTCAGACTGCTACCCTTTACAGTTAGCAGCCCAATTTCTACCAGAGCTTCTTAGGAAGAGATATTTAAGTATAAAACCAAGGTGGTTAGTATGTACATACATGGAGTCAAGCCAATGCATAATGTCCTTATATCTCATTTTACATGTGATGTAAGATATTAAATTACAGTCAAGTATAAAATACATATAAACAGCTTAACATCTCATTTCCTTATCTCTTTGGTCTCAGTGACATGTTCTTAGTCAATAAAAATGAAAGGTAACTTTCCATTGATTAAATAATGAATCTCAGTGATGATTAACATTCACAGCTCTATAAATTTATAATGGTGGTGGTGGTTATGTGCCATGGAGTTGGTTCCGACTCATAGCGACCCTGTACAGGGTTTCCAAGACTGTATGTAAATCTTTACGGGAGCAGAAAGCCTCATCTTTCTCCCGTGGAACAGCTGGTAGTTTTGAACTGCTGACCTCGTGGTTCGCAGCCTTATTCATAACCACTACACTATAAATTTATAATAGATGGATCAAAATAATAGTATCTGAGCCCATCAAATGACTCCTCCCCATCCAATGTTGCATTTTTACAAATTTTAAACAAATAGAAAGAATAGTGTAACAAATAGCTTATTACGTACCCTTCACTTATTATGTACTAGTTTTTTATACTTGTCCCCATTTGCTTCATCTTTGTATGTATATGTGTGTGTATTCTTTTCCTTTTCAATCATAAGAGAACAAGTGTAGATAATCACAATAGGGCCGTCACTTTCATGAGAGTCATCAAGCTATTACTATAGTACTTACCCCATTTTTTAATTACTTGTATGACTAATTTTGCCTTGTTTTT